TAGCAACAATTCATTTAAAATATATGAGTATGGGCTGGGAAGGTGGCTCAGTGGTAGAGCGCTTGCCTTGCATGCTCAAGGCCCTGGGTTAGATTCCTCAACACCAATAAGCAAAAAGAAAAAAGCCAAAAGTGGCGCTGTGGCTCAAGTGGTAGAGCGCTAGCCTTGAGCTGAAGAGCTGAGGGACAGCGCCCAGGCCCAGAATTCAGGCCCCACTACTGGACCCAAAAAAAAAATAAAATAAAATATATGAGTACCCTTGGGTGACTCTCTCAGGCAATAATTAAGCTTGATCATTTCTATATAATATAGTAGTTTACCTTTTTTTCTTTTAAAAGGGCACTGTGGGGCTGATGATTTAAAGCTCAGCAGTAGAGTGCAGAGTCCCTGGGTTCAATCCCCCAACACTGCAAAGGGAAAAAAAAGGGAAGGAAGGAAGGAAGGAAGGGAAGGAAAATGAGAGAGAAAGGAAGAAAGGGCATTGAAGCATAATATGAGTGCTCTTAACTAGACACTAAAAATTACTAAAATGCTAAATTTTACATTCTGCACATTTTACCACAATTGTAGAGAATGTATCTGAGGCATTTACCTGTCTACTCTGAGTTGACTCTCTTCAGAGGAACAAATACAGGGCACAACTTTGTGCTTCTCTCAACACACAGCTAATGGGGCAGTGGTGGGCACTGGTCCCTTGCTTTTTGGCCTAGCACAGCAAGAATTGCCTCAATCCCATGGTCTTCATGGAGCATTCTGGAGGCTAAGTATAGACGGCCTGAAAAGGGATTTCCCATCCAACTTTTTCTCCAAGCCAATTTTGGGTAGTGGTTCAAGTTAACCTATGTTAGCTATTGACACCCCCCCCCAATTTATTTATTCTTGATCATCCTCAATTATATTCTCTTGCCTTCATGAGGCATTGTAGAATGTTCTTCCTCCTACTTCCTTCATAAAATCTTTACATTCTGATTATTTCCTTTCGTTCTCGTCTGTTAGGCTTTCCTCCTTTTCTTCTTTGTTTCTGTTGTTTTGTTGAGACTGGGTCTTGCTATGTAGCCCAGGCTGGCCTCAAAATTAGTATCCTCCTGCTTCCACCACTCAAGGTCTAGTATTACAAGTATATGTCACTATGCTATATATCTTCTCTAATGCTTTCTACCAATCCTTTAAGACCTATGTTTTCAAAAGTCCAGACACTCATCCTATTGGAGCACTGTCAATAAAGAATTGTAATTATTATAAATACTTTATAATTTTATAAAGTATTATCATTATATTTTAAATGGGAATTATGAGCTTACATGTAAAGTGGAGTAGAGTAAGATGGTGAGACAGTTATGCATGGTTTCCTAGCCAGGGTTCTATAAATAGGGGAGACAGGATCAGAAATCTGTGAGCTACTGCTTAAGTAGATTGTTGGAAATTTACTTTGAGCAATAAGAGCAGAAAATTTACAGAGTAGAGATTTTTCGCTTTTTTCCACTTCCCCTACCTAACTCCCAAAGGGTACTCCCCCAAGGAAGGAAACATAAATAAAAACCTGAACACCTTATGCATTTATAATTATGCTATTTCTTCTAGTCCTTTCCCATATGTAGCCTCACTTGATCCTCAAATCTCCACAGCTATGGAGATTGGGGCCAGAAGAGGTTAAATCACTCCCTCTAAAACAAAGCTGATCAATTAGTGATGCCAGAGCTGGACCCTAGGTCTTCCAGTTCCTGGTCTTGTGCTATCAGAAGCATCACAGGACATTTGCTTTAGCCATGAGAGAAGATTGGAAATCAGCCCAGGGCCCTTTCTCTTTGTTGATACAAATTATGGGCAGATCTTAGGTTCATAAAAGCAATGGCACATTGAAAAGATGATTAAAAACAAATGATTTTATTGTTATCCCTATAGAAAAGTAAAATTAACAGGCACAAAGTTTCTGTTTATTTATTTATTTATTTTTTACTACTGATGAGTACTTCTAGGCACTGCAGCTGCAAACATCTCATCGTTCTTTGTGAAAAACCTCAAGTTACAAGTAAGGAAGAGTATTATGATATGAAGATCTGAATCTGAATGCAAACGGAGGGGAAAATAAACTGGTAGGTGAGGTTAAATAAAGAATCACTGATCCATTCAAATGTTTGCCATTCGTGAAACCACATTAAGGACAAGGCTAGCATCTGAATTTGTCCAGTCAGCTGATACATTATCAAAAATGGTGGAGGGTTGCTGACACAATATTTATCATTTCAGTGCTGTTAATACCCCACTGGTAGCAGGTAGCTGAGTATTCAGACTTCTAGGAAACTTCATTCTCTGGGGCATAGTCACAACTATGAAAGTATTTGAGAAAAAGTAATTGAGATTTTTCATATTACCAGGGAGCCTTCTTTATCTACTCTAGTGACATTTTTTTTTTTTTTTTTGTCGGTTGTGGGGCCTGAACTCTGGGCCTGGGCGCTGTCCCTCAGCTCTTCAACTCAAGGCTAGCGCTCTACCACCTGAGCCACAGGGCCACTTCTGGCTTTTTTTTTTCTGCTTATGTGGTGCTGAGGAATCAAACCCAGGGCCTCACACATGCGAGGCAAGCGCTCTACCACTGAGCCACCTTCCGAGCCCCTTTAGTGACATTCTTAATGGGCAGTCCAAGTCTTTATAAAAAGAAAGTCAGAAATTATTTGGCATGGGATTTGTTTCTTTCTGATGGCTCATTAATGCTAACTTATAGGCATTGTCTCAACTACTGTTAATTTGTTTTATTTTGGGCAATATATTGTTTTAAGTGTCTATGAGAGAAGGGTACAAGTATATTTATAAACTTTCAACACATACACAAATGGTCATGTTTCATTACCAAAATAAGTCTGTGTCCCCACTGATACCACATAAATGAGCTACACTGCTGTACTTAAAACAGACTGCTGGAGACTATTCCACCATGCCAGGGACTCCACCACTGCTGTGTAATATGCTCTCCCTCCACATCCTCTCAAATCTACCTGCATATGGTTCTTGAAATACCCCCTCTCTTTCCATCCCTGTCTTGAACTCTTGCCCAATCCCTGGCCCCTACCTTCAAGGAGAGGGGGTGACCTTAGAGGCTGGAAATAATACTAGAGAAAAGCCATTGGAACAATGCCAATATAGCTTCAAGAAATGAATCCTAGGAATGAAAGTAAGTCCATTTAACTTATTAATAGCTCCAGTAAAATGCCAGATAGGTTGGAAGGTCAAAAGCAGTACCTTGAGGGAGGTTTGTACATTATCAATGCATTTAAGTCACCCATACTATGTTTGTTGAAAAAGAGAAATCCATTGCATTTAAGCAATTTGGCTTTAGCTAAAAGGTGATTCATGTCTTTGATAAAGCCTGATGCATCATTATTAGGTTTGAGCATTATAGTCCTAAGTAGGCAAGTTGTTTACAAACTTCTTGAAACAAAGAGGATAAACAATAAGCATAAATATTTAGAACCAGATGTGTTGGTGCAGGTGTGTCATCACAGTCCTCAGGATTCTGAGGCAAAATGATCTCAAGTTCAAGGGAAGCCTGAAATACAGAAAGATTTGCACACCAGCCTGTACTAAAGAGTGAGACTCTCTCAAAAGCAACAACAAAAACCATGCACTTCTAATTTTACCCATCATTACTTAGCTCAATCCTCTTCACTCTGACTTATCTTTTAATAAGCTCTTTAATGGGGAAGAATTTTAAGTTGACTTCTAAAATTTAGCTTTGATAATAGCTAATAGCATTGGGCCTGCCAGTTTTTATTAGATGCATCAAAAATACACTGTAAAAGTGAAGTGGAAATTCATATTTAGAATGTCATATTTGAACGTGATTCACACACAAGGAAAAACACGATACATTTAGCCAGGCTGGCTTTCAACTCCTGGGCTCAAATGACTCTCCTGCTTCCAACCCCTAAATAGTTTAGACTACAGGTAAGTACCATTGCACTTAGCTTAAACTTTTTTTTTCACCTACCATCACAGCTACCATATTGCACTTATTGTAATTAAAGGTATCCCAACTGAACTCCCAAATTCAAATGTCATTTTCAAAAGCAAAAAAGAAAAATCATCTGTATATTTCTCTATATAGTGGTGGTTCTCAGGGCTGGAATTTTTGAGAGAAGAGTCTTAATGTTAATTTAGACAAATTTTATTACCTGCTTCTCACATTCCCCAGGGTTATAGAACAGGGGGCATCTGATCGTCATCTTCAATGGAGGGAGCACACAGCTAAAACTGAATCAACATAGGGGAGGCATTTTGAAGTCTTGGAGTTACCTAGTTAGATGACCAAGTTAGGAAAACTCTGACAGGTTACTTTTGGGATGGCAACAGGAGAGGCAAGACAACCATACAATCGGGATCATAGATCTTCCCTTCCCATTGCGCCCTCCTTCTCCCCCTTCAGTCTCCATTTGTCCATTCTAATCCACAAACTGGTCCTAGCATTCCCCTGGTGAAAGAGAGGAAGGGAAAAAGATGTCTGAGGCCTCTTCATTTTCTTTGTCTTTGTCCCTAAGGCAACAGGAGAGAGCTGCTTCAGCCTGGCAGTGACAGCAAGCTTTGTTGGCTGTGCCGAGTGAGCAGTACTAGGGAGCTCCTGGAGCAGCTGCCAGTTAGACGGCCCAGAGTTCTGCTAGAATTCATTGCTGCAATTCAATGCCAAGTGTTGGACGTGTTAGATTCAGTTCCCAGAGGACTGGAGCATGGTGTCAGGGCTGTCTGAAGACAAGAGAGCAGAAGCAGTTTAGTGCTGTTGGATGTGCCGGGTGAGGGTGAAAGCATGAGGGAAGAGGAGAGTGAAAGTGGCTATGAGGGAGTAAGATGGTGCTTTTCCTTGCAGGGCCTTCCAGACAAGGTCTCCTGACCTCTCATCATTGTCTGCGGGGAGCCCTGGAAAGGGAGGGAAGAGATGGGCAGCGTTCAGGTATAAGTAGATTAAGAGGATGCAATTGCTGGGGGGTGGGGTGAGGAGCAGATAGGTGGATCTAGACCTGTTTGGCACCTAGAGGGAGAGCAGGCAGCGCCCCCAGGGCAGACTGGCTGAAGCCCTGGGCTGGGGACCCAGAGGCTGTCTCGGCGTCGGTGGCTGGGTAACCGCCTGCGGCCCATTCCTGCTCGCCAGGGTAGGCCTGAGATGGCTCGTTCTTGGCCTCTATGAGCTTGCGGGAGCGGGTGTAGGCCAGGATGAGGACTCCGGCCAGGCAGGCATAGAAGATCATGATGAGCAGGATGTAGAGATAGGCGTCGTCACCTTTGGCGCTGGTCACCTCGTGGCCCACGAAAGGGTCAGGCACGACACCCATACCCATGCTTGGGCCGGGGCTGGTGCCCAAACCGCTGGCATTACCCCGATGGTGCAGCTGAAGCAGCAGGCGGCTCAAAAGGGTTTGCAGCCGTTGACTCTCGCTGCAATTCATGGCTGTTGGGGAGTTACACGGAGGCTCCAGGACGTTGCTGACCTTTCCCCCTCCGCGAAGGGAAGTGAATGATGGAGCAATCGGGCAGGACAAGCTGAGACCCAAGAGGACCACAGACGTGGCACCCAGCTCTGGGACAGGAGCGCAGTGGCAGGGGGCACCGGCTGCTGGGGCTCCTTATCCCCCTCAGCCCCAGGCCTCCTCCCCTTCCCACCACGCCCCCTCCGGCCCTGGGCGGCCTCCTTCCAGGCTCAGGTTGTCTAGTAGCTTGGGAGAAAGGGGACAGCTGGTTGGAAGAGGGAGGAGAAAGCAGCCAGGGAGGGGGTGAGCCCAGAGGAGGGGCCGAGGGGGTGGGGGCTTGGAATGTGCGAGGCCCCAGGCAGCAGAAATTGGCAGGACAGCATGCTGGGGCCAAGCCTGGATCTTGGGCTGCGGAAGAGAATTCCTTCCAAGTTCTGGCCATCTGCCCTGCGAGCCTGGCTTTGGCCCAGGTACAGGAGCTGGCCCCCCAAGGCAGGCCTTCTGTGACAGTGCACAAGTGAGACATTAGGCGCCTTGGGGCAGCACTCTAGTAACATGGGTGTTTTTTTAGCGGAGATTCCTTTGTCCACATCTATGGTGGTTACCTGTGTTCCTCAGTCCTCCTATCTTTATCGCTCACCTTCATCCCTTCCCTGGTGCAAGAAAAGCATCTTATTCAAGAGATGCTCAGAACAAATTTGGTAAGTGATTGCTTCGAGGGCCAGTACAGAGAATTCCTACATGACCCCAGCAGCTGTAAGTCACTGCAGAGGAAGACTCCTGTTCTCATGAACTACTACGGCTTTCTGGAATGTCCACAGATGTTCAGCACTTGAGTATATTAACTGTGATGTAATCCTGTTTCTTCACTTTTTTCCCCTTTTTCTTTTTTCTTGTGCAGGTACTGGGGCTTGAACCTACAGCCTGGGCACTGTCCCTGTACTTTTTCACTTAAGGCTAGTGCTCTACTCCTTGAGCTACAGCTCCACTTCTACCTTTATGGTGGTTAATTGGAGATTATCTCACAGAGTTTCCTGCCATGGCTGGTTTTAAACTATGATCCCCAGATTTGAGCCTCCTAAGTAGCTAAGATTTCAGGCATGAGCTACTGGCTCCCAACTACTCCATTTCCTGTTGGTAAATCACCTTCCCAGAAGTGAAACTGACTTCTTTTAAGAAGAGCAGAGGCTCCTCTTTACACTCAGTACATATCTCAAGATTTGAAATGTGACGGTGCTAGATACTATACTCACCATAATCTCAGTTGACACATAGCTATGTGCTTTTCCAGGGCTTGATAACGGGTCTAAGCCCCGATGGGTGCTTGGGTACCAATTTTTCCCATCAGGGACTATCTTTTTTATTTTTTTTTTAAGAGAAATCAAGGAACTAAGACAAAGATCCATTTATTCCTATGTCAATTTTTTTTAAAGACTAGGTTTTAAGGAAAATTTCATTTGTACATAGAGAGGAAGGAAGTAACACTACTGGTCAGATCTAGTTGCATACATTCACCAAGTGAGAATAAAAAGAAAGCAAAGCAGATTGACACCTTCCAAAATCAAGTTGCCTATTTAATACCATTCAGTATTGGGACTAAACTGAGGTGCCATGGATTTAATCAGGAAGATTTCTAGCATCTCTGTCCCATCCATCCTTCAGCCCTTTATCCAAGACTCAAAGACCTTCCATATAATCCTGAACACTACCTCAACTCTCTAACCTCACGTAGGCTCAAGAACACTTCAAAACTAACTGAGCGTGATGAATACCGGAAGACATAGCTAAGAATTTCATAACCATAACTCTCTAGGGATATGACTGTTGAGCTAAAGGATTCCTCTTGAGCTAGGTGCTGGTGGCACATGCCTGTAATCCTAGCTACTTAGGAGACTGAAATCTGAGGATCAAGGTTCAAAGCCAGTCTGGGCAGGAAACTTAATGAAACTTCCAAAGCTGGAAGTGGAACTATGGCTCTAGTGGTAGAGCACCAGCCTTGAATGAAAAAGTTAAAGGAGAGCACCCAGGCCCTGAGTTCAAGCCCTAGTACTGGCACACACACACACACACACACACACACACACACACACATATCTAAACTTTTGCAAGGAAAATAGGTTGCAGAGGTAGAAGCTCCTTTACTGTAACATAAAGAATAATCATTTCAATTTATACAGTACTTTTCCACAGTCTTGTGAAATAGTAGAATTCCATTCATCTTCAGAAGACGGAACTGAGATTCAGAATGGTTAAATCAAAGTACTACAATTATAAAGCTTAACCTGTTCTTTTCAGTCCTACAACATTACTACATGGATAGTTTAAATGAGCTTCTTCAATTTTCCCACATGTCCCTCCTCTGGAACTTTCTACAGTTTAGTTTTTTTTCAGCTAAACTTCCCTGTATAAGTTCACCAGTGACCTCCTGGCTAAATTCCAGGCTTTTTGCTCAGCTTGGCTCTTTGACGTTGAGAATAAATTTGATACTTTCAAGCACCCACTCCTTCCTGTAATGGTCTTAACTTTGGCTCTCATGGCACTGCATTCTCCAGTTTCTCTTCTTATCTCTCTGGCCCATCATTCTCTGTCTTCTTTGCTAGCTCCTCTTCTTTCCTCTTCCCATTAGCTGTTGGAATCCCCAAAGACTAAGCACTCAGCCAGTCTCTCTTAACATGTATTTCCTTGCAAGGTATCCCCTTACATGGTGTCACCTATGACCTGGCATATATGGAGTCAAATTTGAGTCTCAAGCTCTGAGTCTTTTTCTTGGTAGCATCATTCAGATACACCCACTTCTTCCTGGCTGGTTTTATTGCCTCAAACTTAATCCACACTGATTACAGCAGGTCAAATATGTAAATTGAGAGTCTCCTGACAGATCTCCCTGACTAATACTCAGTCCACCATGCTTTGGTTAAAATAATTCTCCTCCAACACCACTTTTATCAATTCATCCCTATGTTCCCAAACCCAGAGGTGCACCTTATTGTTCCTTTAATGGAACTCAGTCTTCTTTGGAGGGCCTTAAGTCCTCATCATAAATAGATAGCATCTCCTCTTCTTTTGAGCTAGAAAAACAGCACATTCCTGGTGTTTCTTTTACTTTCCTCAAAATTCACTGCCTGAAGGAAGCCTTGCTCTAGGCTCTAGTTTGTGATCTCAGATTCTTCACAAGGAATCCCCTCCCCTGGCACCATATTACCACCACAACTCAGGGCGCAGTCTCCAGTGCAAAAACCTTGTTAAATACAGAAAAGCACTAAAAAATTTTACCAGTACTGCACAAGCATTCTGCCCACATGCTCACACAGATGTGTGTACACATAAAAACACACATTGCTTCATACCTATCTTTCTCATTTAAGATAGTATGTATTTTTCCATATTACTATTTTATAGTACCATTTATTATATACACAGTATAATACTAGACTATGGATCTTCATCAGTTCGTTATTTGCTTACCTTTTTTAAGCTATACCTCCAGCTCTGGCTTTTTGCTAGTTAAATCTCACAGATTTGTCTTTTTATGGTGATTCCATACCATGAACCTCAGATATCAATCTCCTGATTATATAGGTTTATAATAATGAGCCACTAGCACCCTGCTTATCAGTTTTTTAAATTAGCTACTACTGTCAGATTTATGTTACTCCCAGATTTTTGCTATTACAATTTATGTTTTGATAAACACATACAAAGCACTTTTTTTGTCGGTCGTGGGGCTTGAACTCTGGGCTTGGGTGCTGTCCCTCAGCTCTTCAGCTCAAGGCTAGCGCTCTACTGCTTGAGCCACAGCGCCACCACCACAAAGCACTTTCTTTTTTCTCCCTCCCTCCTTCCCTCCCTCCCTCCCTTCTTCCTTCCTTTCTACCTTCTTTCCTTCCTTCCTTCCTTCTCCTTTCTTTTGTCTGTCATGGGGCTTGAACTCAAGGATTGGGCAATGTCCTTGAACTCTTGGTCAAGGCTAGCACTCTACCACTTTGAGACAAAATGCCCTTGTGGTGTTCTGGTGGTTAATTGGAGATAGTAGTTTCATGGACTTCCCTGTCTGGGCTGGCTTTGAACTACAATCCTCAAGTCTCAGCCTCCTGAGTAGCTAGGATTGCAGGTGTGAACCAACAGTGCCTGGTTATACAAGGCTGTTCTAATTCTATTAAATAAATCATGAGCAGAGAGAAGGCAAGTTAATAATTTATAGTGGCACCGGGTGGCTCATGCCTGTAATCCTAGCTACTCAGGAGGCTGGGATCTGAGGATCATGGTTCAAAGCCAGCCTGGGCAGGAAAGTCTGTGAAACTCTTATCTCCAATAAACCACTAGAAAACTGGAAGTGGCACAGTAGCTCAAGTGGTAGAGTGCTAGCCTTGAGCTGAAGAGTTGAGGGACAGCGCCCAGGCACAGTGTTCAAGTCCCACGACCAACAAAAAAAAATTTATAGTGGCATGGGCAGCAGTTATATGCTCAAAAGAGGATAGAAACAAAAATGAGCACAGTCATAAAATTTACATAGTTTCAACCTCAGAAAACATAACAACAACAGGTGTCTGTGGGGATTCTGACATTTTTTTCTTCTTTGACCACATGGACTGCTGAGCATCCCTTCAAATCCCAGTCCCAGGCCAACCCTTTTTCCTATTACAGTTAATGAAACTGAATCCTTTGGGCAGGGATTTCTTCTTATTTCTCCTCACTCTTCCATCTCTTCCACACCTGCTCTGTACCTGTCAAAGAATTGTTTGTCTATACATCATCTAGGATCACTTATATCCTGAATGGCAATCAAGTGTGTTGACAAATAGAAGCAATTTCTAATCATATATTTAGACTTTTGACAAGTCATGTTTAGGGAAACTTCTGATTCACGCCAAGCTTTTCTTAAAAGGACAATTCAAGCACCATTGTCTAGGAAATGCTTTGAGTGTTCCTTGAGTCTCTGAGTGCTTCCTGCCAACAGTGCAGCTCCCTGGAAGTTGGTT